GGAGCGGCTCCGGCCCGGCCGCCGAGCCCCGGGCCGCGCGGGGCCGCCGCCAGCCCCTGCCAGCTCGTGTTTTCTGGGGATTTTATTTTAAATTAATATCCTTGTACACGTATGCAAGCGGCTGCCCGTGCCAGTATTATGCGCCATCTTTGTTCTTTTATTTGCAAAGCAAAAGTGTTTATTAATCGGGAGAAAAACGAAGAAAGTCCCGGGGAGCAAAGCCAAGGGTGTGTGTGTGGCGGGGGGGAGCGGGGGAAGGGGCCGGGGGGGGAAGGTCGGGGGCCGGGGGACCCCGCTGGGGCTGCGGGCAGGGGGACCGGCCGGAGGGGCTCCGGCGTTTCTGGGGGGAGTTGCAGGGTGAAAGTTTCTTTGTTCAGCGTGAAGACAGGCTGGAGCTGCGGTCACCCCTCAAAGGCACGCTTGTGCTGCGGCAGCGAGCGGCAAGGTCGCTGGGAAAAAACAGTTGGAAAGGGCCTCGTCCCTGGCGGGACACGTCTGGGGGGGCTCCCAGGGCGAGCCCCAGGAGCTGGGCTACATTTTCATGCCTTTTCGGAAGCCCTGGGTGCCCGCGACGTATTTTTAATTAATTTTTGAAACCTCAGCGCCCTGCCTTGCTCTGGGAAACGTCGCGCCCGGCTGTGCTGCAGGGCGAGAGAGGGAGGCGGTGGATTTCACTTCGGGGGATCCTCCTGGAGCCCCCCAGCAGGACCAGAGGCACGGGGCTCGGTAAAGGACCTCCGCCGCTTCATTTTCAGCCTTTTTTGAGAGCTCGAATAATTTTTTAAATATTTTTAAATATTTTTTGAAAAGATGACGTCTAGGGAAATGAGGCTGGACGCCACCTTTGTGTCTCGACCGGAGAGGGGAATCGGCAGCACAACGGCAAATTAGATGAAAAAATAAAAGCGAAATAAATGAATCCGGGGCCGAGCCCGGCCCTGCACCCCGTTACCAACCACGGGGGTTAGCATTTTCCTCGGCTTTCCGTTTTCTTCCCTTGTAAAAAATTTGTTCTTAGGGGCTGGAAAACTGGGCACAGACCTCTTCTTCGATTACCCTCCTCCCCTTTTGCCATGAATCGCCTGCGGGTTTCTAACGCAACATTTCCCCCCACTTTGTCACTCGTGACTTTCATTTTCTTTGATGCCGCTGCTTTTCCCATATTTATCCATTTTCCCCAACTGCGTTTCTTCCTCGTCTCCTTCAACCTTGCCCTGCAAAGCCTGGGGGTGAGGGAGGAGGGAGGGCGAGAGCAGCGGGACAAGCCTGGCTTTCTCCTCAACTAAATTATTCTTCAACGATCTCTCTCCTTCTTGCAGGTTTGCGAGGAGCAGAAGTGCGAAGAGGAAGTTTTCCCCTTGGCTATGAATTATTTGGACAGATTTTTGTCGTTTGAACCCCTCAAGAAAAGCCGATTGCAATTGCTCGGAGCTACCTGCATGTTTGTGGCTTCAAAAATGAAGGAAACTATTCCTCTGACCGCAGAAAAACTGTGCATTTATACAGATAACTCCATTAGACCCGACGAATTACTGGTAATTTCACGTTCAATCACTTCAAGAATAAAAAAAAAAAACCAAAAAATCGAAACAAACATTTAAAAATATATATAAAAAATGCAGGGAAAAAAAAAAAAAAAAAAAAAGAGAGAATTGCAACTCCGCACGTTCGGAAGCGCCGGCCGCGACTGCGGGGCTGCTGGCGGCGGGGAGAGCTGTGGATGCGGCGGCGGGCCGGGATGGGATCCGGGATCGGGAGCGGGACCCCCCCGCGCTGCCGGGCGGGCGCTGGGCGGCCCGCGGGCTCCCCCTGCCGGCCCCGGCGGGCGCTGCCCCGGCGCGGGGGGACTCCCGCAGCCCGCGCCGAGCCCGGGACGGCGCCGCGCCCCGGCACCACCGTGTGCGAGCGGCTCTAACCACGCTCCCCCCCTTCTTCCTCTTCTCTCCTTCCCCCTTCCCGTCCCTCTTCTCTTTGCAGCAAATGGAGCTGCTGCTGGTGAATAAGCTGAAATGGAATCTGGCTGCAATGACCCCCCACGATTTCATTGAACATTTCCTTACTAAAATGCCTCTGGCAGAGGACACCAAGCAGATCATCCGTAAACATGCTCAGACTTTTGTGGCTCTGTGCGCTACAGGTATGAGCCCTGCACGTTGCGCAAAGCGCGTTGCTCCCCGACACGCGCCCACCCCCCGGCTTGTAAAGCTTCCCGTAGCTGTTGGTCTCAGGCGCGCTCGCAGAGCTGTGGGGAGGTAGTTTAAGCCCCGATTATTGCCCCTTGTTTGCAGAAGGTGGATTACTTTGGCAGAGGTAAGTTTTTCTTTTCAGAAGATATTTCGCTTCTGAGTCGGAGTTCTGTGTGGATGTCAGGGAGGGAGAGGGAGCAGCCCCCCGCCCCTCCCCGCTCTCTGTAGCTCAGCGTGGCACGATTTCCTCGCCTCCCCACACGGGTTTATGTGGGGGCTGCAAAAGGCTTACTGCCCGTGCGGGGAATCCCTCCCTCTGTGGATTCATTCTTTAGGACGAGTTTTTAAAGGCAGAGGGAGATTTTTTTTCCCTGTGAATAGCACCGCGTGGGGGTTTTAAACCTTCCCTCTTCAAGTTGCCTCTTCCCCCCTCTCCTCGGTGGATTGGAGGAGGGCCACGCGGCACAGAGGCTTTTCCTGGCACAGGACCGAGCCGCTGCCATCTGCACCCTCGTGACCACGTGCTGTGCTGGAGCCATGAGCAGGCCCGGCCTCCAAAGAGCCGTGGTATCCGCGCTCCGAAACCTCGGTGGCACCCGTTAGTGCCGCGTAGCTGGTTTTCCAGAGGTTGGATTTGGTATGAAAAGGTTGAAGGAAGATGGCAGGCGCTCAGAAGGAACAGACCAAAAAAAAAAAAAAACCCACACAAAAAAAAAAAAAAGTTTTATTTCACAGAACCGGCCCCGCTGCAAGGCCTAAAGATAGAATGACAAAGCCATAAAAGAGAAGTTTATAAACACTGGCATTGCTCTTCATTTTGGGCCTAACATCAGCTCATAGGTGAGGTTGCCTGGAGTAATGCTTGGTCCTGGGAGTGCCACAACCTTCAAAGCACCTGCAGCAACATTTTGGGAAAGTCCAGTGTGTCCCTCCATGCCAGGTTCTACCAGCTACGAGGCTGCTGCGACTCTGGAGGCGTGATTTGCTAAGTTTGGAGCTAAAAAGAACGGCCACCCGGGCTCCCCTTTGGATGTGGGGATGTTTAACCTAGGTTGTTGTGTTGGCAATGACAGGGATGAAAGCAAGAGTAGTTCAAAGGTTGGAGGCTTGCTAAGAGTCCAGTACTTTGATCTACTGTCGGTGTTGTTATGTTTCTTTTAGGAAGCACATCCAGAGCCTTTATTTAACACTGCTACACACCACAGCTGGAGAATGGATCAGTAAATGAGAACCATGTTCTGGGAGTTTTACTGAGCTTTAAAAAAAACCAGCGCTGAGCTCACCAGTTGGGGCCCTCTTCAGCTCCCTGCTGGAGTTGGGAATATTGCCTGGGGAAGGAGCGCTCAGGAAGGCTGCCACTAGGCTCTGTGTTTTTATTGTTATTTTTGGATGTCAGGGGTTTCTCTACCTTTTGCTTTTCTCATGACTTCTTTGTTGGCTAGTGAAGATCACATGTGGCTTAAGCAGCATCTGGACTTTGCTTTGCTGTTGCTGGGTTGTGCTGCATTTCCCCTTGCCAAAACGAACCTAGATGGACTGCAAATGCCTTGTGCTGCCTGGATGCTGCGAGGCCCGATCCAAAGTCCACTGGAAACACTGACAGCTCACTTAAGTGGCCTCAGGGGCAAGTGCAGTCTCTCCTTTGCTGTGTCCTCTTCTGTAAAGGAGGTTCTCCTACGAAGAGACTGCAAAATAATGCTTGCTTAGAAAACATACCCTTGGCCAGTTGGCTTACCAAGGTGAAGCCTGTGGAAGTGTTTGTAGATGAGTATGTATGTGTTTGCTCCAGAAAAAGAAGGTTACACTGCAAGGTGAAGTTGAGGGGAATTCCTCCTAGGCTCCCTCTCCAGTTGTCTGGCTAGTAGAAGTGGATTTGTTTGATTTGGTTTGGTTTTGAAAAATCCATTTTCACCAAAGGATGCCTTTGTGCTGTGGTAGGTTTGGGAGAAAAAGAGAAAAAGAAAAAAAAAAAAGAAAAAGAGAAAAGAAAAAAAAATTACCAAGGCTTGTTTGAAGTTAACACATAATTGAGCTTAATGAATGGGACTTTGGCATGGCAGAGCAAGGCAGGGAGAGCTCAAAAGGAAGCAGGCCTCTTTTGGCCCAAGTTAAGACCGGTGTTGAGGGAGAACTGCAGCTCTATACAAGCATAACAATGAATAGCAACAAATATTGGAGCTTCAGCATTTCATTATGTTCCTCTGGTTATCAAAACATACCAGGCTCCTTCATTATTATTATTATTATTATTATTATTATTATTATTATTATTATTACTGCTTTGGTCCTCTCCAAAGGAGAAAGAAAGATCCCCCTTTGAAATGAGCGCGTTACAATTCTCCCATTCACCGGCCTTTATAAAATTGGAAGTCTCAAGGTATGTGACCAGTTGGAACCTGTTGCATCTTGCAGCAAGTGATTTATGTTCACAGTTTTGATTTGCCTCAATGAAAAGATTTTCATTCATAGCCCCCAGCTCTCCAGACGGATGGAATTGCTGCTCCATTTAAAAAGGAAAAGGGGTGACTCGCCTTGTTAGGAATTTTTTTTAAAGCGCTGCAGCGCCTATATGCCTGCTTTGTCCTCCCTTCAGGGTGGCTGGCATTCTTCTCTCTCCTCCCCCTCCTCTCTCTCTCCCTCTCTCTCTTTTTAACAACGCTGAAGTTGTTTATTCTTTTTGGATGAAGTCTCAGATAGGCTACTGGGGATGTGTGCTTCAATTGATGGGGCCCCCTACCCCATTGTGGCTGTGTCAGGTCTAATTCATCTCACCGAAGCCCCCTTGTTCCTGAGCGCTCAATAGCGCAAGATGAGGCGATGGAGGCTGACAATGATGCCACACTCTTCACTTGGGGGCATCCAATTACAGGCGAGAGGGGCCCCCTGATTAATATGCTGAAATTAGTGGCCTCTGCCACAAATAATTCCTTGTTGAGTTGCAACAAAAAGGCAGTCCATGCTGCTTGTCTGGAGTGGTTATAGGGACAGACACAAACTGGTCATTTAAACTTCATTATCACTTTTCCACCTTGGAAAGAATGAGGGTGTGACTATGAATTCATGTTCTTGTTTACTGCTCCATTTAAAAGAAGAACACAAATATTAATCCCAAACGTGATCCTGTCAGGACGGGCTCATTAAAGTGACACATTTTGGTCATGTCCCGTTTGTGGAGCATCGTAAACAGTGTCGGGAAGGCACTGCCACCCTACCCCTCTGAGCAACTCCATCCTGGTGGGATCCCTGCTGGGAATCCCCCATTTCCAAAGTCCACCTGCAGGTCTGTGTCAGTATTTCAGTTCAGGACTGGCTTTGGAATGGCAGAACTTTTTGGTTTTTTTTGGAAATGACAGCAGCTTTCTAGAAGGTGGGTGTGTTTATATCTGCCTGGAAACAGCCAGGTTAGGAAAAGGGGTCAAACCAAATTTATTTTGATATGTTTATTTTAACATAAATGAGATGGCTTTAGCTCGAGCTTCCCTTTTCGCTGGCAGTGCATCCTCAAAGCATGGCCAGAATTTCGTGTATCAGTTTAATTTTGGAGGTTCGCTAAGTGCCCCTTTGAAGGTGGGTATTGGTCGGGGCCACAGTGGAGTGTCAGAGGTGTCTGAATAAACAGATTCAGAGCCAGGACTTCCATGGAGTCCTGAAGGCTTTAGTTCCACTTGTAAAACATTTACACGAAAGTTATTTTATCATAATAAAGGAGATGCATGATTTAATACTTAAACAGTTCCACTGAGCCCTCTAAGCTGTCCATTCCTTTGATTTCATTCAGGGGTTTGACAGATGGTTTATGTTTTTCCAATCCAGAGGAAGTTGTATTCTGATAAAAGCTGAAGGAATGTATCTCAGGTTCTGGTGTACATTGCGGTGTTTCCCTTTCTCCCTCACAAAATTGGACCTTGACTTGTGCCGCTTGCTTCCTTTGTTCCCGATTCTCCTCCAAGGTGTTTCGATGGCACAGATCAAATGCATTCCTGCTCAGTAGAAAAGAGTCTTATCAGTAAAATGGAGACTATTATTATTAAAAAAAACCTAGAAAAACTCAAACCAAACCAAACAAACCCAAAGGAAAAACATGCTAAATGGCAGAGATAGCCCCTTAAGGGATCCTGGGAGTGGCTTTGTGGAGAGACCTACAGCAATGCAGTCTGGAAGGGGGCCCAGCCTCTTGTCAGCATGGTGTCACATCAGAATGTAACTGATTGTCCGCCAATTCTTGGGACCCCCGTCACTTAGTTATGCCACATTTACATTAAATCCCTGTTGCCAGGATGGATGGCAGCCACTGACAAGAGACTAGGTTGAGACAAAGCATTTTAAAGATGAAACCTTAATTTAAATATGGATTATCTGCCTCCTGACAGGGTTAAGCAGTCTTTCTCTTTTCTTTCTTTTTGTTGATGTTGTTCATTAAAGCAATATTCCTTTGAGTGTCAGAGCAAAGGTTTCTGCTTTAAAGGGGCCCAGGACTCGTTGTTAGAGTGCACCTTGGATCTGACCATGCAAAACACTGCAGGATGTGAACAGGTTTTCTCAGATGTGCAGTGCCATTGACCCCCCTGGCATTATTCACAGGAGCAAAGTATTTAACCCTGGAAAAATGGGGGCCCTGCTTATGATAAAAGTACCTCCAAGTGATGAATGGCCTCTGAGGCCCGGTGCCAGGAAGGGCCACTCTCTGCAGAGCAGTTGCTCATGTGGATAAATGTTTGCAGGTTTGGACCTGTAAGAGTTTCAGAGCAGGAGGCACCTTTCTGCTCACCATTTTTGCTGCCTTTTTGAATGCAATAGTTGGCAGCTGAAAGCCATGCTGGTACAAAGAGTGTATGTGTATGGACAGGCTTCTCCTAAAGCAATCATTTCAGTCTTTTTTTTTTTTTTTTTTTTTTTTTTTTTTTTTTTTTTTTTCTTCTCCTTTCTTCATACAGATATTAAATTTATTTCAAACCCACCCTCCATGATCGCAGCTGGCAGCGTGGTAGCAGCTGTGCAAGGCCTGCATCTGGGGAACACTAACACTTTCCTCTCCTATCAATGCCTCACACATTTCCTATCACAAGTTATCAAATGTGATCCGGTAAGTGACTCTTTCTCTCGGTTGATCTCCTGCGTTAAGGGTTTTTAAGAATGAATGCCTGCTTACTGCACGAGAGCTAATCTGACAGTAAATCTTGGGAAAGGTCAAGCCTCAGAGTGGGGGTTCTCAATGTGTTCTCTTGTGCCCACTGTTTGCCTTGCTTGTTTGGCCGTTGTGATGCCCACTGATAATCTGTGATGCCCGGTTGGGAATGGTGCATCCAGCTCTGGTGTTTGGGACAGGAGGATGTGGCAGAGGCTGTGTTTGGCTGGGGGTAATTGAACCAGGAGCCCCTGTAAAACAAAACTTGGGGAATAAGACCAGGAAACAGTTGCTGAGACCTTGTGGTATCTCTGACCTTATCTTTGACCATTCTTGAGGCCTTTTATTGTGCCAAGTGGTGTGAAAAAGCTCTTCTTAAAAGAGTTCTAATGATCTAATTTGGTTTATTACGTGCTAGACCTTCACAGTAGCTGGTATTGAATTCCTTTTTGGAAGAAGTGCTTGTCCCACGACTTTCTGACAAGGTAGATGGTCCTCACAGGACCCTTCATTTTGCCCTGCAGCTTCCAGGAGATGCACATCAGTAACTAGTGAGCAATAAACCTTTCATGAGTGAATGGGCCAGGAAGGGAGCCTACAAGGAAGACCTAAAGTCAATGATCCATGTCATAATGGTGTGTGAAGTTGGGGCAGAGTTGAGCTTTGTATTGTAACAATGTGGAAGACCAATAAATAGATGCTTTAAAAAGGTTCTTGTGAGGTCTCCAAGCCCTGGACAATGAGTCAAATAAAGACAACTCTGTGGTTAGGAGCAGAATCTTGGAGATGCTGTTAAATTATTTTACATGTTAATAATTTAAATGTATAGAAAACTGTCCCAGCCCAGCCACTGCATAACTGGCTTTTTTTGATGGGATTGAGCAATTTCTTTGCAATTAATTATTCTCAAATGAATATTTTACTTTTGATAGACTACGTGAAACAATTGCTGAAAAATGCAGTATGTCAGCTTGTTATTTTATGTTATCACCTGAACAGTGCCTCAGTATTGAGCACCTTCTTTTTGCCACTTATATCACTGCAGCTGAGGTAATAGTGTGGAAGTGTTAAATGCTCTAGGGACCTGAAATGCTGAATACTCTTAAGAAATGCTGAACTAATGGGCTGCTCAGTTTGGTATGCACGTGTGACGCTTTTAGTCAGTTTGTGAACTATGCAGATAATTCCAGTGTGTGGTTGGCCACTGTCCAGGGTGAGATGTTTGAAGCAGGTACTGAGGGAAAATGCTTGCTATCTGTCCAGGCAGCATCTTGATTCAAGCAAGATGATTTAACCATTCCTGATACTGGGCACTGAAGTGGATTCTCTCATATCATGCAGAACAACGGCCTGTCCTTATGTGACTTAGTTGATGACAGAGCTCTTGAAAAAGAAAACAAAGTTGCTTTATAAAGAAAAGAGGATTTTTTGATTGTTTCATTTTAATTGTCCTGAGTCATTGCAAGGCCACAATCTGTTTGACCTGGGCTTGGTTAACAGTTTGAAAAGGGAGTAACTCCCCTTCAGCTTCCAGTGCTAAATATACTCACGTGTTAGGTAGAAATAAGGATTTTATATGGATTGCTACAGAAAATTAGCATCACAAAGTTCTGTGTCTGTACAGATATATTGACATGTTTGGAGTGGAATAAGGAAACAGTTGTTCTGGGAGAGGAATCTGCTTGGTTTCATAAAGAGCATGATTCCCCTGCAGGGAGACTTTCCCAAAATACCTGTCTGTGTAACCCGTGGTATCAAATGCCATTCCTGCTATCCCATTTCACTGGGATTTGTATGAAGTGTGCTATGCCCCAGTGATGGTTCCCCTTGTCATGGAACAGGTTTTATATTGGATAGTCTTGGAATGTTAAGAGCAGGGCTGGTGGTCCCCCTGATGATCTGTTAGCTGGAGCACAGGTCTGTTGGATTTCAGGTTACATAATTACACTTTTTTACCTTTAGTCTCTAAGAGACCTGAATCTAAAGTAAAATGAATATCACCTGATTGGAATTCCTTTATGGTTTGTGTTTATATGTTGGTAGGAGTCCAATTTCCCATTTTGCCTTTGATCAGGGGTAATTAGAAGTCAGATAATCACAATTAGTAGTCTTGGGCTGTCTTCCATCATTCTATTCTTGACCCCATCATCCAAACAGATGGAATTTTACCTGACATTCATTTCCAGGCCAGAAATTTGCTGAACTAGATTAGATTGGGTCTCCATGCTGTCTGTTAGTGCATTGGAATTCGCCTCCTGCCTGCCCCTTCTCAGAGGCACCTTCAAACATGTGCTTGTTATCCAGAACGGGTCAGGCAGGAACAAAGGATTTCCAAGCAGTTCCTTTTTTGTTGTTGTTTGTTTCCTTTCCTATGTGACCCTGGAGTCTGATCATGTCCACTGTGTCTTAAAGGTATTTGACCACATCAGTTAAGCTAGCAAGTATTTTTTTTCTTTTTTTCTTTTTTTTTTGTCTTTTTTTTTCACTGAGGAGCTTAATTAATCCAGGAAGGGTTTATGACCTTGAACAAACTCTGGGCATTGAAAATTTGGGTAGTGAAGCAGAAAAGTTGTTGGGAGAAGTTATCAGAGTAATGCACAAGTTTTGTATTTGCTTTTCAGTGTTGGAAAGTAGTGAGAATGAAAACCGCTTTGGTGAGGTTGTTCACAGTGAATTTTATGTTCTGCAGTTGTTTTTTGCTAGCTCTAATGCATTCCTACAGGCAAACTATTTATCTAATAGCCATGTGAATAAGACATGGACAAAATGCCTTAAAGAGTAAAAAAACCTTTTCATTCAACTGTAGCTTAAGACAGTCTGTTCATAATATATTGTAAAGATTGTTTTTAAAAAAAACAGTTACAGCATGCTGCACTCTGAGAATTTTAAATGAAAAAAAAAATCTGTGGGCAAAAAGTACCTTTAAATTACATAGTCCTATTTAATTATTCATAACTGAACTCCAGAGGGAGAAGAATAGGTATTTATAGAATTCTTTTGAATGGTTTTAGTTTTCAGAGCTCAAACACGCTATATGCAAATGGTCAGGACTAAAAAAAAAAAAAAACAACCCATCATTTGAAGTTCCCATCAATAAAACCATACGATCTACTCCCACTTGAAAAAAAAAACAAAACAAAACCCAAAACAGAACCCAAGAGGATTCATTTTGCTCTGAAAAATAAAAATGCTTTCAGTTTGGACCACTGAGCATGCTAAAAGAGAATTATCCTCAGAAGTGGCTTTGTAAAGCCAGGAACACCTAAAGCTGTGCTGGTGTGGACTCTTTAATGTGCCTGTGGTACAAGGGGGAGCCATACAGTCAGGATTGATCCGTCATATCTGGAGGAGGGCTGGGTGCAGGGACTTCATAGAGACCTTATTGTGGAGGCCAGAGGTATGCAGGAGCCAAAGGCATGATGACTTTAGGATATGAAGCGTTTCTTTTTGTCATTTAAAACGCTGTGTGTCTCTGTCAAGAGGAAATATTACACTAGGCTTTAAACCAGGAAAGGTCATAGGTTATGTGTTTTCAGTGAGCTGTAACTGATGGTCTGATCTGCTTAGAGGTAGGATTAACCTCCCTCTCTCTCAGAAAGGACTTGCAGAGAATTGTTTGCTTGGGTTTCTAATCTTATTTTACCCCAAATGCCATGTGCCCTTATTGGTGGCAGAGGAGATTCTTGTGGTAGTGGAATCAGTGAAAAGCTGGTAGATCACACAAGAAGCCTCTGAATGAAGGCAGAATTGAAACTGGGAAATAAAGAAAACAGCAGGCAGGTCACCCTCTCAGGAAAACAACATTCATTCTCAGTCATGCACATCCTAACACTTTTGACGGCAATTTATCATGGAAGACTGGGTTCACCGCAAGGGCTAACACATGTCATAGGTTAAATCAGAAAAGGCAATGCTGAAAGGAAACTTCAAAGTCCTTCATACACAGAGTTAAAGATGTTTGCAGGGAAAGCTTACCATGTTTGTTACAAAGATGAGGGTAAACAGCACGCTGGATGAGTTTTGGCAGAATGCTGTGGGATTGTTTGGCCTGTTTAGGGCACCATTTCTGTGTCATTGCAGTGGGTGTACAGGCTTCCACAGCCTGCAGGAAGCTGTGCAGGTTGAGCTAAAAGGCCTTCTCCAATTCTGGCTGCTGGGAATCTGATATCTCTCCTCATGGTATGGCATAACGCCTGGGGGAAGTTGCCTTTCCCCACCACAGACAGGATCTTTCTTAGTTCTTTATGGTTTTTTTAATTTCCAGCGAGGCCTGTGCAGCCTCCTGAACCCTCAGGAGGAATGTGTGCACATCCAGCTTGGAGAAAATGCTTTGGAAGTGAGGGGAAAACGTCTCAGCCTGACTGAGATTTCCAGATGGATGTGGTAGCACACAGGAAGCTTGGATGGGCTTAGTAGTGCGTGGTGCTTCTGAGAGACCTCTCCCTTTTGGGGTCTGACAGCCCAGTCCATCTCTGGAGATGCTGACAGGGTTAGGAATTTTATCAGCTGGACATTGCAGCACCTGGCACGCAGCTTTGGCCATGGGCAGCTCAACATATATATGGCATTTCTGTCACTGGAATTTAGCCTTGGGAAGAAAGTCTCTGTTGGTGAGCACTGCTTCCAGCAGACTCTGCTGCTGAAGGGTTCCTGGGGTAAAAGTAGAAATCACAGCTGTGAGCAGTAGGGAGAGAGGCTTGTAGAGAACTGTAAAGAGCACAGGCAGAGAAGCAGCAGTGCAAGGTACAATCTGCAGAAAAAACAGGCTTGCTCAGCCAGTCCTTTCACTGTCAGGTGCTTCTGCTCTTCCCACCCTCCTTTCCAGCCTGCTGCTCTCCCAGATAACCTGGTAACATTTCTCTTGCTTTGTCAAAAAAACGGTGTTTTAGCCTGTGACCTTTCTAAAGGACTCTTGGGTCTCTCTCTCTCTCTGTCTGTGTCCCCTTGCATTGCACCCTCCTGCAGGATTGTTTACGAGCCTGCCAAGAACAGATTGAGTCGCTCCTGGAGTCCAGTCTACGCCAGGCACAGCAGCACAACATATCTTCAGAAACAAAGACTGTAGAGGATGAAGCAGACCTCTCCTGCACACCTACTGATGTGCGAGACGTGAACATTTAAAGAGGACTTCTTCCTAAATGGATTTGCTTGGCAAGAAAAGCAGACAAAGAAAGGGCATCTGAGAAGGAATCGGCATCAGGATCTCCCCCCCAGAAACCCTTTTCTCCAGGACATTTTTATACCAGAAGGGAAAACCAGTCTTGTTATATTTTTTTCTTGCTCTGTCTCCCTTCCATCTGTGACTTCAAACAAACAAATAAACAAAAAATACCCCAAAAACTGTCTTAAAAAAAGAAAAAAATAGTATTTGCATTACCCCCAGGGGTTTGTGCTACAAAAATAGAGGATTTTATACAATAATAATCAACTAGTTTTTATATTAAAGTGTTCTTGTCTGTATGTTGTAAAAATAGGCATTAACACACGAAATGTCTCCAGGGGAGGTATTAGATTTGATTTCGTACATATAAAACAAACCAACCAACCATTTTTAAAGTAGAAGAGGGTTTTTTTTTTTTTAGATAGTAAATGAAATATTCTTTTTCTTTAAAGAGCATAGCTTTAACGCAGTTCTAGGCTTTTCTGTATCTTGCTTGCTTATGCATTTAGTCACTTTATAATTCATCTGTAAATGTTTATTTTATTTCCTTAGGTTTTTTTTTTTATCCTCTTCACCTTATAAATGGTTAACGTAACCCATAAGTTAGTGTATGTTAGTATGCAGCATTATTATATGTTAATTTTTTTTTTTTTTTTTTTTTTTTTTTTTTTTTTTTTTTTTTTGTGCCTGTGGATTGCCTGTGCATTGAGGCATTTGTAGGGTTCCAGCTTAGTGTGGTTGGGAAAGGCCAATGTACTACTCATACAGGACCCTATTATAAAGAGAAACCGAAATAGTGACATAATATATTATATTTTTGTAATCTTCCTATTTTTGTAGTTACCTGTGTAAAAATGCTGTTCTGACCCCACAGATATTCAGCCTAATTATAGTCAGGTTCAATCCACAGTTCAGTCTTTTTTTTTTTTCTTGTTCGTTTGTAATATTCTGAAACCATTCCATTCAAAGCACTTTCAGTCCATTAGATATAGGAAATACATTCTTTTATTGTGTGGAATTTTTTTTTTGTTTGTTTGTTTTTTTAATGGAATGGTTTGGAAATATATAAAGTGCTTGTTGGCAAACTTGGAATTGCAAAGCAAGTGCATTTAACTATGGTGTTAGAGGAGAGGTGATTGTTTTTTTCCGAAGGTTGTGTTCCAGTGAGAGAAAATTGCATTCACAAATTGCCAGGATATCTTCCTTTCCTTTTCTATAGAAAAGTTTGGAGTTTAGAACCCTTTGGTGCCAACTCATCTTTATAAATTAGGGGCCTTAAAGGTTCACATATAGGACACATAGTTTTAAGGATTATCGCTAGATGTTTTTACAACTGAAGGTTTTTAAACACTAAAATATATAATTTATAGTTAAGGCTAAAAAGAATATTTATTGCAGAGGATGTTCATAAGGCCAGTATGATTTGTAAATTAATGCAATCACCCCTTTTGAAAAAGAAAATCTTTCTACCCTTGGTGTTGCAATTTTAACCCAGCTTATTAAAGCAAAAAAAGGATATGCTTCAAAGAACAAACCCAAAACCAGGCAGTCTATTTGGCCCCTTCCTATACATTTTCAAAAGCAGTCTAACCATGAAAAAACACCATAGTTAATAGATATGAAAATTGGAGTACTTGAAAGAAGTTTTTATTCCAGAATATGCCCCATTTGTTTTTTTTTTTTTTATTTAGCTACAAATAGAAAATTTGCACATCTTGGCTATGTATCTTTTTATTATTATTTTAGAAAGTAGCTGAAGGGACGTGGACATAGCTGTTGAAGTTGATGCTCGAGGAGAATGTGATGGTGAAATGTATGTGAGAAAACTGCCGCTAAGGTGTTGATTGTAAAAAAAAATAACAACAACAAAAAAGAACAAAAAAATGAAAAAAGATAAAAAATTCAAAAGATAAAAAAAAAAAAGAAAAAGACGAAAGGAGTGGATGCTCCATTTTTATTGAGCTGCTATGGATAAATTCCCAGCATGGTTTGAAAAAAAATTAACATTGCTTTTCTGTATCTTTGTCATTGTGTTTTGCTGCTATTTTGTGGATCAGTTTTTTTTTTTTTTTTTTGTTATACAATGTCATATACTGCCATGTAATAGGTTTTAATTTTCTCATAGAAAATTATATTATTGACATCATTTTTTTGTAGATTTTTTATGTGATCAATTTTTACTTAATGTGATTACTGCTCTATTCCAAAAAAGGTTCCTGTTTCACAATACCTCATACTTCAGTTACCCGTGTCTAGACCAGGTTTTGATGTTCTTACAGTGCCTCATAGTTCTACTGCAAACGGAAATGCATCGAACGTTGCTCTGAATGGGTCTCTGCATTAATTTAAAAACTAGCAGACATTTCAGAAGATCAATTAATATCAAGGGTTGGTTGTTTTTCAAAAGATTGGGTTGGTTTTGTTTTTTTTTGTTTTTTTTTTTTTTTTTTTTTTTTGTTTTGTTTTGTTTTTGTTATGCATTTTGTAAAGCTGGATTCTTTGTCTGATCTGGGGTTTATTATCATAGTAGTTTTAAGTTGTGTTACTAGCCACATTGATATATGAAAGGTGCATTATAATATAACTCTTGTGTGCCACCTGATGTGGTTCTCCCTCAGCTGGGACACATCATTTGGTATGATAGGTTATCTTCTGGAACTCTAAGTATTTTGTGTGTTTAATCTGTTATGATATACTAGGGGTTTTTTGTTTGTTTTGGTTTTTTTTTTTTAAATAATTATAGCATAATGCTAATTTAAAAAAAAGCCTGTAAATCTCATAAATAAGCCAGCTAACAGAGTTGTATGCTGAAGAATAATCTAGCTGTTGCCTGTATGCTGCTAAACCAAAACAGAATTAGAACTCATTTTGAGGCAAATGCAGTTAAGATCCTACATAGTGCATAAATAAGCATTGCAATGCTACTAGCAGTCGCAGGACCCAGGAGGACTGGATATATTCTGTCCAAATTTCAGGAACATTTCTTACTGCTTACCTCATAAAACACTTCTGTTTGTGGCATCTCTGTGTCTCTGAACCAAACATGATTATTGAGTTTAGTGCTTGTTGGTTTTATTATGTGTTACACTGAGTGGTAGTGTGTACTGCAAATTTTTTTTGAAATATTGTATGTACTGAAAAAGGCCAAATCCAGATAAGTGGGTTCACGTGCCAACAGAGATGCTTTATTTGTCACATTATTATAACAATCTGTAGTAAGCAAAAGCAATTCAGATTTGTACATTTTTATATTGTACTTATTGGCATCACTGGTCTGAAATGCACATTTTCACCAACAGACCTGTAACAGACAAGTTTCCAGCAAAAAAAATCTAAAGAAATAGAAATAAAATTGGTAAAACCCAACTGTTGTCGTCTTTTAATTTACATTTATTTTTAATTGCCTTGAAAATGCTGAATGGTTGTAACTGCCTGGTGCTGTGAGTAAAGCACGTGACATTTTCTAGGTTTGACACACTCTAAAAGCTGAAGACCTTTTGTTGCTGTTTTAGGAAACCGTGGGTGTTTCGAGCCATGGGTAGGTAACTGCCTGCCTGTCACACCAACGTGTATTTTTAAAGAAGCAAAATATTTTTTTTCCCTGCCTGAAGACTTTATTTTTCACATTAAAGGAAATTAGTCATAGTAAAATGCCCCTTTGGTGGTGCATGTGAATAAAGGGTAAGACAAAGTAGGTGTTGGATGGCACAGAATGCTCGCTGGTACTTTCTCATCAGTGGAAGGTTTTGTGTCCCAGAACACCTTTACAGAAGACAGCTGGTTTTAAAAGCCAGTTGGTTAAGCTGCCTTCTTCTCTGTGCCTTCCCCTCAGACAGCTTTTACAGCTAAGAGAATACGGAATAAACCTGAAAAACGTTAAAGCCAACTAAAAGAATGTCAGAAAAGAACTGGACCTAGGACAGGAATTAGGGACAAAATAAAATGAGAAAAAAATTATAACCTCTGTTCCAATACACAATCCAAAATATCTCTGAAAATAGGGGTTGCACATTATTATTTTTAATTTTATTCAGAGCTGAACACAGCAGAAACAGCTTATTTTCAGTGGAGATGGTCAAGCTTATAACCTATGTATTTGGTTATTTTTCCTGTGAAATGATTTCTGCCTTAAAAAAAATTTTGTAAAAGGCCAAGTGCTTCTCCTCCCTGTCACAAATTAGAAATTTGGTATCTACCTTCTGAGTTTCCCATTGACTAAACTTCACGTTACAACTGATTCTGTGCAGAGAGTGCAGCGCAGGAAATGAAAAATGAAACTGCCGAGCTGACTTCTAACATGCTAATCGTTGTCTAGTGCAGAATAAGCTCCTTTCAGGCCAGTTACCACTAGATGGGAAACCACCTGCATCAGAAGAATCCACCACTAGATGGGAAACCACCTGCATCAGAAGAATCCCAGATGAGCTTGTGAGAGCTCGGTGGTATCCCAGTCATTTCAGCCAGAAACCTGAAGCCTGTGTGGTCTGCTGCGAAATCCCAGGTCAGGTGGGTGAAGTAAAACCAGTACAAAGGGGGTCTGGTTTGTTCCTTTTGCAATGGGGAGCTCCTCTGTACAGTGAGTTACACTGGGAGGTGGAAAACACTGGAAGATGACCTGAACTAAACTCACAGGGACTTCAGAAACACATCAAGCCAAAGCTTAAACTGATCTGGGCCAAAAATGATTAATTTTTTCCAGCATAAAAAAACCCCAAAACTCCAGAAAGAACAAATAGCTTTCTTTTGTATGGCTGATAGCTCATCCTTCTGATCTTAAGTGTTTGAAAACCAAGTGAGGACACACTTAGGGGATCTTGACTTCTCACAAAAATCTTGTGCTGATAAAAACATTAGAGTGATTCAGTGAGAAATGTAAACCTGTGTTTGGTTCAATGTGTTAAGTAGGTTTTGCCATTCCCATCTCTTTTATAAATGCTGTTAAACTGACTAAGTGTTGTGACTTAAGTAGGTTTAAGCCCACATAGCTCTATTATTTACATTTTCCTTCTCCTGAACATCATCTCTAAATGCAGACTCCTAAATTTGAATGCTGGGTGAACTATGCCAGTATTACTCACATTGCAAAGGGCAGAAAGACAAGAATGTAGCAAGAAAAACAATTTACTATAGGCTGTAAAAAATATGCACGTTCAGCTAGACTATGCTGTAGCTTATTAAAGGGAAAAGTACTGTAATTTTTTTTGAGACATGTACAAAGAAAAACCTCCAACAGACCTCCCAAAAACCTTCCCAGTTCCATTGCTGAATTCAGGCCATTTGACAATCTTGGACCTTTTATGAACACTTAAGTTCAAATGCTCTTTATGAAACAATAAACAAGAACTAGCAAATGAAAAAAAGACTCATAATCCACTTTCATTCAAGCACAGCTGGCATTTTAAGTGATAGAAAACTCTGTAAGATAGAGGAGAATGTTGGAGCTGCTGTTTTTAAAAGATTCACAGGAATGACCCATGCACATGGGCTACATACGCTGAGATTCCTGCAATGGGACAATGGCAGTAAAGCTATAAATGATGGCATTTTAATGAATTTTAATGAATTCCTGTTGGCATCATTTTATGAGAAATGTATCTCTTCAGACAA